AATTCTAATAAAACTCTACCAGTTATTTGTTTCAGTACCTTATACAACAATTTTTCTTCAGTTATTTTATAGCACCTTAATAATTCCATTAACTGACAACTAATTTGATTATTCATTAAAAATGTAAAATCATATAAGCGACCAATGTCCCACATACCGAGCTCATTAATTTTAATTTTTAATTCATGTATATCTATATCATCTCTTGAATATTCTTGTATAATTTTAACTAAGAAACTTTTTAATCGTCTACACGTTATAAATAACGTGCATGTATGATTCTTTCTTTATTAAAAAAGCTGTATGTACATACTATCGAATACAAAATGATGAACACATATATAATTAATTCTTTAAAACAACTAAAAGAAGTTTATATATTTTTCTTTCAAATAAAATTTGCCATATGTAAATATAATCAAATATGGAATGGTGTGAAACTAAAAATAAATTCAATAGACAATCTGTCTATATATTTTTCTTTCTAACCAAATAGCCTTATGTAAATATTATCAGATAAGGAATGATTTAAAATCCTAAAATAATTATTAATTTTTTCCCTTTTGATAATTTGTTTCTTCGTAATTAGTCATCCCACAAAAGAAAATAGAAAAACAAAACAAGAGTAACTAATTACATTTTAATACATTCTTAACACCACAAGATGCTCTTTATCTTACGAGCTTTTGTATCAAACTGATCAATAACATAATTATGAGAAAAATTAACAAGTCTCTTTCTTCTCATTCCATTACGATATGTCATTAGAGTTTTAAGATCTCTAACACTATTCAACCCCCTATGAAATTAAGGACTGGTAATCGGTATTTGTCTGCGTAGTATTTCTTGCCAGGGAAGCAAGTTATCCTGTTCTCTAATTTCTAGCTCTTGAAAACTTGTGGTAATATCATTGACCATAATATTCTTACCAGCACTGGTCGATTGTTCAGCCACCTTAATATATTCATGTTCGAGAGTGGCTTCTTTTTTTTTCCTTAATTCCAGAAAATATTCACAGTTGAAGGAATAATTAATAAAAATATATTCTTTCAACATGTTGTATCCTGATCTACTTGTAACTTGATCAAACAGAAACTCCAATTCCTTGTTTGATATATAATGTTTCTTGAGAATATCACCTCTTTGTTTCAATCGATGTTTAGAAACTACTGGCTTTGACTAAAATCTATTATTAGTGTAATTCCATTTATTCTTGTGAGTTTTGAGGCTATTCGTAAACCTCTTTTTATAATTCTCTTGTTCTTTCATCGTCTTGAACTGTTTGTTAATACCCAAATTTGAGTATGTAACTAAATAGTTACCTGTGACACTATGCATTGAAACCTTTTTTGTATAAGTAACGCCTATGCGTTTACTTACTATTTGTTTACTTTGACAATAATTTTTAAACGTATTTTGCGTGAGAGGTGTAGGTGTTACTATCACTTTAGAAAGACAATTTTGGCATACTTTTCTATTGTTTGACATTACATAAGCACAGACATTACTACAAAATAAACATGGAATGTAGAAACCCAAATACCATGTTCGTCTACCATGACTAAATTTAATATAAGTTGTAGTTTGTCTGTTCTTTTCTTGTTTCTTCAATCTATTTTCAATAACTACAAGTTTATCCAATAATAATTGACGTATTCTTAAAAAATACTTGTTTCTAGTTTCTATATCAATAGGTAACCCACAAAATACACTCATCAAGTATTTTGAAATCCTGTATTTAGTATTCATCATAGGCCGATCCGAATTAATCAAATAAGGCTTATCATATTTCTTTATTATATGTCTATTGTTGGTAACAATCGTCAACATATCTTTCTCTTTCCGTAACGAATTTACATGTAAAAGGATGTAGGACTTTCCTTTTCGGGTAGAGTATATCGTATCAACCCCGTGTACCGTTTCACTTTTTCTGGACGGAAAAAAGTATAGCCGATAAAAATTTCTTTATTCGGCATCTTTTATCTAATTGGTGCACCGTATTTACGCCTTCTTTTGAAAAAATTTCGCAAGAAAACAAAATTTTTATGTCTTTAAAGGACTATTAAGCCCTTGTGAACTTGTTCGAACTGAAAAGAGTGATAATAAAAAGTGTGTTGTTTAAACCAAGGAACACTTTTGTCTTAATACTGAAGTGCTATTTTTCTAGTAATTTAACGAGAAAAAAGCGTAATATTTCTTGTGTGAAAAATGGACGTGAACAGTACAGGAAAGAGTTTTTTTTTTTTCTGTTATAAACCTTTTTATATATATTGAATTAATATTTTAAAGTATTTTTATTTAAAAGTTATCTTTATCAGTTATAGTTAAATTTTTACTAATATAAAGTTCTTTTAAATTATATTAAAAATTTAAGTTTTATAAATTAGAATTAATCAGAACTTTTGCTTTTAATTTCAAAGTATTAATCTTACTTTTTATCTACTATTTCTTTACTGGAATTATCTGATATTATTAGTTAAATAATAAAAAGCAACTTAATTATTAAATACATTATTCAAAAAGTAATGTTTATTATAATATTTTTAATTATATTTAAAAGTAAAATAAATATAATAAAAGAATTTTAGAATTTTATTTAATTTATTAGGATTTTGCTTATTTATAATATAGATTACCATAAATTTTTTATATTTATATATATATTTACCTTATTATAACTTTTAATTTTATTGGCTAATTCCAGTGACAATTGTATTGTAATAGAAAAAACAAAAAAAAAAGAGTGATTAATTAAATATAAAATCATCATTAAAATAATATTATTGTAATAATAATAAAATAAATTTAAAAAAAAACTTACTCTAATTTAAAATAAACTATAATTTTAGTTGTTCTATTATAATGGGATTAGTAAAAATGATTTTACTTTATATCTAAAAATATTTTTTTACAAGTTTTTGACTTTATTCTGAATTTATTAGTGAAAATTATTTTTGGCATTTATGTCATATTAAAAAAAGTTTATTATTTTGCGATTTTACAAAATATAACTCAATTATAAATAGAAATTGCATATTTATTAATTTTATTTAAAATAACTTTTTTTTTTACATTATCAATTTTATTAAAAAAAAAAAAAATTTATATAAAAGATAAAATCCTTTATAGCTACTACAAGTTTTCACTTCTTTTTAATAATAATTTTGTAATATTTTCCATTTGTTGTTTAAGTTTATCCATTTGTTGTTTAAGCTCAGTATTTTGTTGTACAAGTTCTTCTTTTGTTTGTTCTATTTGCTTCTCTAATTTATTATCTTGTTCTATTTCAATATATTTCATAATACGATCTATTTTCTTTTCTAGTTTATTATTATCATCAGTAAATACCACTAAATTTCTCAATTTCTCACTAATAATTGGAGGATAATTAAATACAGTTTGATTATTATCAATTGCATTAATTAAATTACGAATTTTAGTAATAGGTATATCATAATAGCTTAAAATAATTAAAATATATTAATAAAATATACAAAAACTAAAAAATTTTAATATTAACAAATTATATATATAATACTTACATCCAATCTGGAAACCATTCCTTTTTATTACGTTGCCATGGTAACATATAAAATAATTCAATTTCCATAATAATCTTTAAAAGTAAAGTATTATTAATTAATAAAATAAAATTAATATTATAATCATTAATATTAAAAGTTTACCTGTGCTTTTTGAAGTAAATATTCTTCTTCTTTATTATAATCATCAATTGCTATGTTAAGTAATCCAATAAATAAATTCATAAGATAGATTACTGTGAAAAATGTAAAGGTAACTAATAAAATGGTCATAATAGGATTTTCACGATAAGTAAATGATGATAAAGATCCAGAGTCACCTATAATTATATTAAAAAATTATTAAAACATTTTGTTTTTTAAAAAAAAACTGGATTATAAATAAAAAGTAAATTATTACCAGTAAGAAGATTATATACTGCTAAAAGTGAAGTAGGAAACCAGTTAAACAAATTTGTATTTGAATCAGGATCTTGAATTATTGCTGTAGTGTTACTTATAGTTCCATTTGGATTAATAAAATTATATTTAGTTGCAAGATTCTGTGGATCATTATCATCATTAATATTATTTGATCTTAAAACAATAAAAAATGCTTGAGCATATCCAAGTACTAAAAAAAATAAGAGCACTACAAATGGAAAAACTTTTTTTGCAACACCAATTATTATTGCAAAATAAATTCCAAATGATTTAAATATTCTAAAAAATAATAAAAATTTAAAACTCAATAATATAATAGATATTTCTGTAAGCCAAGGTGGTTGATTCTTATTAATAAGCCAAAAAATAGATGTTATAATGGGTAAAAGATATGCTCCAACATCTATTGATGATTAAATCAAATTAATTTTAATTTGAATGAAAAACAATTAAATAAATGTTACTTACCAAATAAATTCCATATATCTTTAAAATAATGTTTATAATTCCATAGACATTGCCGAATTTCAAAAATTAAAAATATTGAGCCAAATATAACAGAAATTATAAAAAGTAATTTAAAATAAAAATCAGAGATAGACTTTTGTTCTAATGTAGAAGCTAATGAATAACAAATATAAAAAATTATATAAAATAACCAGATCAGAGAATAGTAAACTCTTCCAAAAGTTTTCCACTTAAAATCTATAATTGCAGCAAAATTCCACCAATTATAAAAATGATTACTATCTATATTACAAAATAGAATAGATTTTGATTTATATAAAAATTCGTTCCAAACACTATTACTTTTTGGTATCATCATAATTATTTTTAGTCCAATAATCATTTTTTTTAGTATTGTGATTATTTTTAATTTAATATCATGATTTTTTTTATCCTCATTATTTTCATAATCATTATTTTTGGAGTCAACTTGGTATATACATATTTGAGGAAAAGGAACAATGAAACTGACTTTTTCATATTTTGCTGAAATAGGCTTTTCTATATTTGATTTTTTAATGTAAATTATGTTTGCATATGAATAAAGTGAAGTATTTTTTGAATCTTCAATGCCAATACAATAAGGAGATAACATAATAGAAGTGCTTGAGATATATTTGATTATGAAATCAGGATAATAATCACACAATTCTGCTAAGTTTAAACTAATAATGGACATATAATTTTCAGAATAATTTTGAGTTGAATTAATAATTTGTTGAATAGTATCTTGATGTTTTTTTTTAATTGCTATTTTTAACATTTCAATTCCAAATTTTGGTGATGCTAAATTATCACTTATAACATCTTTAACTACATTAGGTCCACCTTCTATAAATATTGGGAATGGTATTGAGCGTTTTGAATCATCAAATTCATTTTTTAAAATTTCTCTAAAAATTGGCTTATATGCATTAATATTGTCATAATTATTCATGAAAAAGAATTTGTCATAAATATTTTTCCATTCATTATTACGCCAAAGGTATCGTGTTTCAAGCCAAATTTCATTTATTGTTTGAATACTGATTCCATGTATATCAATTACTATCAAATCCTTGTTATTTAATAGTTTAATTGAGAGTATATCAGAAAAAACAAACGAATGTACTAGATTTCCGTTATTATCTTCAATTCCTATACGATTACTGTAATCATGATAAAGAACAATTCTACAAAGACCAAGATTTTTAATTTCAAACCCATCTTTTAACACAATCTTTTCACCATGTGATACAACCTTTTTAATTTCATCTTGTTCAATGATTTTATTAAACATACTTTGTATAATTTTAAAGGTAGATAAAGAATAAATAGTATTTCTATATATGATCTTGTTTGATAATTGTTGCAATTCATTTTCATCGATTCCATTTGTGACACAAACATTACCATTATCAGTGAAAATTTTTCTATTTAATTTAGTTATCACACTTGTATTATTAAAATCATAGGAAATGCCAATTTCATCATAAACTTGATAAGGATCTACAAGTTTACTACCATATGGACTACAAATAGCTAATCTTTCGGTATTTTTCAAAGTTATGAATTCAGCTCGCCGAATAAACCCTACACATTCACTATCAATACCTGTGAATAAATTATAATTAGAATATATTAAAAATCTACTATATCAAAAATATAATGAATGTAGTACTCACTCTTATAAATTAACATTCCATTTTCCATTGAATATATATAAGTTTCACTATCTTGCAATATCGTCAATAACGTTTGATCTTTATTCACTGTTATTTGTCGATACCCCATAAAAGGATGAATTTCATGATATGTTCTTTCTAAATTCATCGACAATAAATCAAATTGAAGCATTTTATAGGTACTGGCAACAGGATAGGTACTGGCAAATTGTTCGAAAAATAGAAATAACTTTGTTCGAGATATAGAACATAACAACATAACATGCTCATTTAAACGAATTTTTATATCATTAATTTGTGAATATTCCCAAGGAACTGTATTTTTTGGTTTATCTGTAAAACAGTACTTGTAAATTTTGCGTTCTATTAGTGATACTTGAATCAAATCACCATTAGGAAGGAATCCAAAATCATCATTTAGATTATGAACTTGATGCTTTAGTTTAAGAAATCGATCACTACTACTACTAGTACGATCACTATTTAAATCAATCAACCCTACAATTACAATATAAATTATTAATTAAGACATAAAATTAAATCACTATTATTTTGAGTCAAAATAAATACCTACAAGGATTATTAAAACTACGTAATAACAAGATTTTTTTATTTAGTATAGAATTGTCTAAAAAAATATCATCAATTTTATCAATCTTAAAATAAACATCGGGTTTTGGTTCATTCTCTTTAATTGACCATCCAAGAACTGATTTATCTTTACTACTATAAGTAACAACAAAATCATCTGAACCATATTTTTCATTGTAAGTACTAATATCATCCATGTATTGAGAAACAAAAATTCGATCAATTGATTGCCTATGTTCTTTAAAATGGTAATCATCCTTCGTTTTTGGTTGAATTTTTTCAATCTCTTTCCCATGTTCTTTTATATTATCAGGAATATTAATCTTCGTTTCTGATGTGGATGTATTATTTTGAATTTTTTGAGTTTCAACTTCTATTTTATCCATATTACGTGAATGAATTTTTTTTATAAAAATTTATTTTTTTTTTGTCGCTTCTTTCATAAAAAACCGAATTTATAAAATATAGGCCTTAGATTACACAATTTTTTACAAAATATGATTGGTTGCATGTGACCAAAATATCTTACCTGGCATAAAAATATTAGTTAGTACCCTTAAACATGTACGCCAAGCAAATTAATTTTTTTAACGACTTCATTTAAATTGGACAAAAAAAGTAAAAATTAATATTTCATCATGCATAATGTTTGGTACAAAATATTGCGCCAGAGAACGATAAAAAACAAATTGATTTTTGAATTTGCCTAATCAACTGTGCCAATCTGCCTATCAATTTAACCGAAAGCTATAAAATCATTTATTATTAAACGCCAATACTAGACGTCTAGACCTCTTATGACTGACTCAACTACTTTTTTTAAGGTTTGACAAAAAAGTTCCTATTTGATCCAAGGAAGTCGATTTTTGTCATTACATCACAAGACACCAAGAATCTACATCACCATACAGGTTATTTAATGAAACTGGTTAAAGCCACTTTGTACATTTGATATTTCACTAGCCTTGTTATACTGTAATACAAGGAATTCGTATACAGTAACCATCCATTAATTAACGATCCCAATATACTATCCTAATTAAGTAATTTAAAATATCATCGGCTTATATGATCTACACAACTATTTCTTATTTGTAATGGTCTTAGAACATATTAAAAATTCTAATACTTTCACTTCGAAAAGAATGTTACGTGTCCTTGTTGCTATTGTAACAAATCGAATAAAAAAATTCTAGAAGGAATTATTGGTCACGTTAACATGTGATTTTGTCACATACGGTGCAGTTTGTGACAAATGATCTATTTATCTTAAGCTATTTAAGCTTTCTTTTCGCGTCTACATTACCAAATACCAAGAATACAAATTTTTTTTTAAAAATAAAAAGTTGGCTTATTTTCTTTACAATAGCTATAAATCTTTTAAAACAAAACTTGCAGAAAATATGAAACCTGTAGAAATAAACCTAATATCTTGTAAATCACCAAGTAAGCAATAATACCAGTTCAACAACTGTTATTTTGACAGCCTAATTAATGCTACCTTCTCTTCTAGAAGAACAAAACTAGTAAGGAAGTCATATAGTCCTATTAATAAATTAGGTGAAGATGTTGAACATTATCAAAATAAGTGAACCATGCCATTAACATGGAAGGGGTAACTGATAGCACTCATTATTTACAATAATTTATTTTAAATTAATGTAGTTTAATATAAATTGAAATTGAATAAATTTTATTGTTAAATTAATATTACATTCTATTTTAATAAAATAATTACTCTAATTTTATTAATTTAAAGGAATTTGGTTTAGGGATATCGGTTCCGGCGTGGATACCGAATCCCAAAGATAAGTTTCGAAAAAAAAATTTCGAAACTTTCTTTAATAAAACGTTTTTATAATAAAACGTTTTTTTTTATATTTTAATTATAGGGAAATCGGTTCCGGCGTGGATACCGAATCCCAAAGATAAGTTTCGAAAATTTTCGAAACTTTAATATAAAAAACGTTATTTTTAACGTTTTTTTTTTATTTTTTTTGTAGGAATTCGGCTCCAACGAGGACGCCGATATTCCAGGTAAGTTTCGTTTTCGAAACTTCTTTAAAAAAAACGTTTTTTAACGTTTTTTTTTTATATTATTGTAGGGAAATCGGCTCCTACTTGGATACCGAATCCCATACTAAGTGAACGAATTTTAGAAACTTTGATATAAAAAAACGTTAATTTTAATTTCTAACGTTTTTTTTTTATTCTTTTCCTTTCTTTCGCCCTTATTCTTTCTTCTATTGGGTGAAAAATTTTTTTTTATTTATATTATTTTTTTTTATTTTGTAGGTTCAGCTTTCGGTTCTTGGGCTTTGGATATATACTAGGTGAGTTTCGAAAACTTCGAAACTCTAAAAAAATATTTTTTTAATTTTTTTTTTCTTCTTTGTAGGTTTCGGCTTGGGCTTTGGATATATGGGTGAAACTCCTATGAATTAACATCTATAAAATTTCATTATATTCTCAAGCAATCATCTTTGGAGTGGAGTATCTTAGGGTAAGGAAAGTTAGTTTAAGCTGAAATACTTATCTTTGAAGATAACATTGACGTTGGAGTATCATAGTGCTTCGACCCGGATGAAAACCGTCATCCGGATTACACAAAAAAAAAATCCGGATTATATCCGGATTGACCCGGATTTTGAATCCGGATCAGATAATCCGGATAGAAACCGGAAACCGGATTGGATTTACAAATGATCGGTAATAATTCTGGCCAGAATTCATAACGCCGGCCAGAATTACAAATTGTGTAACATTAAATTTTCATGCCAGCCGATAAAAAATTTTTTGCCCGGTGGCTAAACTATTTTCCCGGTGTCACGTGATGTTAATTTCGGCCAGAATTACAAATTTGGCCAAAATTATCCAAAACCACGAAATTTACATAATTCCAATTTCATTAAATACTTTTCTTTAAAACAATTTCATATTATTTCAGCATTGTCTCAGACTATTGTTTAGCATTTCTTTGTAAATTAACTAATTATGAAATTTTAAACAAGATATTTTTATATACAGCTAAAGATTACTATAAATAGATGTGTTGGGTTAGTAAGGCAATTTTTAAAGGATTTGTTTCTTCTTTCAAAAATTAAAGAATCATTTGAATCAAATTACATAACACTAGTTTTAATTTTTAAAAAAAGTTGTTATAATTATATAAATTTATAATATTGAACAATTTTTCATTTTAAAACAATAATTATTATTTTGTTGTAACAAAAATAATATAAAGTTTTTTTTCTTTTGAACATTTGAATGTGAAATCTAAAATTATTTGTTATTTGTTAATGTATAAATTTAAATAAACAAATCTGATACAAACTTCAATAAATAAATTATAATTGAAAAATCTTCTTAAACTTACTGTATTAAAAAGTTTAATAACAAATATAAATTTAATAAATTTTAATAAAAAAATTGGTATTAGGCGCAAAAATAATTAGCCATAATATCATTTAGATATAGATCTTTATGGATCAGCAAAATTATTATTAATAAAAAAAAAAATAATAAAAATTTCATCCGGATTCCGGGTCAAACCGGATATTTTTCATCCGGTTTATAATCCGGATGAAAACCGTGAAAATCCGGATATCCGAAAAAAAAAAAAATCCGGATCAATCCGGATTGATCCGGATACGGGTCGAGGCACTAGAGTATCAGCCAATGGACAAATAACACTTTCTTTTTAAATGAATCATGATTTTAGTCGATTCCACCTAACAGGTAATAAAATGCATTAACTTGTGATACTACGCTTAATTAGAATTGGGTTAAATATTGCGTCACCAAAATATTGCTGCGCCTACACTTTTTTTGATTATTTAATTTTTTTTTTCTCATCAGTTTAAATTGAATCAAAAGTAAAAAATTTTCTTTTTTAAAAGAAGATTAGCGCGTTTTTCCCTTATATTAAAGTAAATTGAAAAGTGTTAAGTAGAAAGTAATATTAATGTTAATGATTTTTTTTAGTTTTTTATGTTAGGGAATTATGCAATAGTGATTTCTGATTTAACAATAAACTAAACTATTATAGAACTTTGACTTTAAAAGAACATGAACTTAAGGGAATTCTTGTGAATTAAATCTAAATTATTGGCTTAAAATCAATTCTAATTGAGCTAGCAGTGTAAGACAATATATCAAAATTAAAGAAACGAAACAATTGGCGAACTCAAAAAACGTATTAAAGATTGCTTCGAGACCATTGTTACATACTTAAACATATTCCTCCCAGTGGATAACTATATGTATTCCCCATTTCATCGTGTAATCGGCCGTGTGACAAATATAAGCGCGACAAATATGTTTTCACCACTTGAAAAAAAGTCCCTCAAGTACTACAAATACTTATGAATAAGGAATATTTTTTATTTGATCACGTGCTACTCGGTGCTAGTGCGGTTTTGCACCAACGCTAGAAGATTATTATGCAGGCACCGAAGATCATGCATAAACTTTTTTTAGTCTAAAAATATCGGTACATCAGAAACAACATGGCTGCCATGTTATATACTGTATATGTACAATTATTTACAAATATTCTAATTAATAAAATTTCGAAATTTAAAAGAGTGAATAATTATGCTTTTTATTGAAAAATTTGATGATATTAAATAAAATAAATAAAGATATTAAAAACTGAAAAGAAAAATCAAATTATCTAATATTTGTAAAGACCCATTTACAATTAACTATAGTAACAATAACAACTGTATTACTTTTTAATTTTTCATCCAATTTATTATAAACTTTTTTAACAACTTTAGCAACTTTTCCACTTGGGCACCAAATATGTAATATTTGTTTCCATATTCTTGCATTAGTTATATTTTTTGTAGAAGAATTTATTCCTGCTAATTTTTTTGTTAAAAGACGGTATGCATCAAATTTTGTAAATTTTCTTTTATGCGCATATGCTCTAGTTACTGATACTCCAAGTGTTAAGTTATAAGGATGTCGAAAATTAATTAAATAATCTGTCATTGGCCGATTTATAAAAAAGTATTTAATTTCCATCTAAAAATAATATATGATTTATTATTAGCAGTTAGCATAATGTAAAATATTTTAATACTAATGCATGTTTTTTTTATAATTACCTCAGTTTTAAATAATTGAACATCTAAAATTCTTGTAATAATTTCACAAGAAAATATTTCTGATAAGAAACTTCCGCCACCAGCGTTTGGTTGACATTTCATTTTATTAGATTCAATATTCCATTCAATATCATCAAATTTTTTTCCAAAAGCATTTATATTTATACTTAAAAATGTTCTTTGTTTTCGTTGAGTAAGTCCAATTAAAAGATTTAATAAATCATTTGAATTTGCATATATAATAATATCATTAAAATTAAAAAAATAATGATCTATATTTGAATTAATACAAGTTGAGTAGGTTAATGAGGAGGTGGTGGTGGTTACATCTTCCACCTCCTCGTTTTGTTGTTGTTGATGTTGGGGAAGAAGAAGGGGGAGATGATTCGAAACAATATTCGTTTGCAGCATATTGCAATCGACATTCTCCTCGTTGCTTACGCGGTTCTTCATCTTCTCTATCGCTACCGGACGAATCAATAATTGATTCGTCCGTAAAATCAAAGCCAAAAATTTCAAAACATTGATGTATGTTTATTATTTCGGTCGAAGAACTGTCAGAATTGTTAGAGCTATTAGAGGTGTTAACGCTCTTTACGCTGTTCGACAAAATTGATGACATGTTGAGATTTTTTACGAGAATAAAAAAAAAAGACGAGATGTAATTTAAAAATTCGAAAAGTAAAATAAATGCAGTAAAAAGTGCAAAGATTTTAAGATTATAAGAAGTGAAAAATCGTTTGGATTTAAAAAAAAAAAAAATCACTTTTTTTAATTTTCTAATTTATAAAAAATTTGTTATACTGCGGTGAAAATTGCGGTAGGCATTTTTGGTCATCGTCAATGACTCATTATTTATCATTACCTGTTACTGCATTACTGGAATTTTTTTTCCGATTTTGTTATAGTTTTGTTATGCACAGTAAAAACCATCCTAATTAGGTAAATTTATGTGTTACTGTAATACTGTAAATATTATTCATGCTAACTAATTTTTTTTTTTTTCATTCTTAATCTTATTTTTTCCTCTCAATAACTGATAATGAAATTATTTTATACGTTTATCATTACATTATTGATTACATTACATGGTTATCGTAAAAAATCCTTATCTACTTCTGGAGCATTAGCAGCATTTTTTGTTGGCGTAGGAACAATACAGAATGATTGGCCAGTTTTTGCCGTTGTATTATTAGTATTTTATTTTACTGGTTCAAGATTAACAAAGGTAAAAGTTTATGTTTGAAAAGGATATTTATTAATAATTTAGAGAGAAATATTTTTATATAAATATAAATATTAGTACAAAGCGGAAAGAAAGGAGCAACTTGAGGAAGAATATCACGAAGGTAAGTTATGGAGTAAAATAGAATCGTTTTTTTTTTTGCGTGCTAAAATTTTCAAATTATATAGGCGGACAAAGAAATGCAATTCAAGTATTCAGTAATGCTTTAGTTGGGACAATACTTGCTATTATACATCAATATTATTATGGTGATGAAGAATCATGTTTATTAGATGATCGTAGATCAAGATTCATTTTTTTCATGTATCTTGGGTAATTATAAAAAAAAAAGGAACCTTTTTACTTTTAAATTATTTAAAATTTTTTTTTTATTATTAAAGAATTTATGCCACATGTAATGGAGATACGGTAAGTGCTTCATTTAATGGGTTGAATTTTTTTTTTAGATAATAACAATAAAACTTTCTTATAGTGGGCAAGTGAACTTGGTATTCTTAATAAAGGATGGCCTATACTAATAACCACACTCAAAAAGGTGAGATAACGTTCTTGATCTTTCTCATAAATCTTTTCTCATATAACTAAATATAAAATTATATTGATTATAATGATAAAGGTTCCACCTGGCACAAATGGGGGAGTTACTCCGTTAGGATTATTAGCTTCAGTATTAGGTGGATTTATAATTGGACTATCAGCAATAATATCATTAGGATTATCAAATTTATGTAAAGGATATATAGAAATAATATTAATAGCTTCAATATCGGGATTCATGGGTTCATTAATTGATTCATTGTTAGGAGCTACTGTACAAATTTCTAAATATGATGAAAAATTAAAAAAAATTACTTATCAAAAAAATGAACATTCTAAAACGATTAGTGGGTATGATTTATTAGATAATAATCAAGTAAGAAATTTTAAATTATTTTTTTTTTGGAAAAGTGTTGTTTAATTAATCGTTGTTAAATTTGATTGTTCATATATATATATATATATTTTTATAGGTTAATTTTGTGTCATCTTTAGTAACAGGTGCAACAACAGCTTGTATTTGTGATTTAATTTACACAAAATGAATCATAATTGCATATATTTTTAGATGAAGTAGGACAATGTTTGTTTAACAATTATTATTTTGGCACTTGTACGGATTAGAGGTGTTAATATTTTATACTTAATAATAATAACCAAGAGAATTTTTATTTATTTACTTATGCAATAAGTTGTAATTATAATTTTTACCAATCCCTTAAAGCGAAATTGTGTCATAATGTTTTTTTTAAAAAAAAGAAAAGAAAAAGCCAAATGAAAGAAATTTCTAATTCTAACTAGATAAAGTTTACGAATATGAGTGAAAAAAAAAAAAAAGAAAGAAAGAAAGAAAGAAAAAGTAGTAATGATTAATGTAACCTTTTATTTACAAATTTATATATATTATTTTTTCTTTTTTTCTTTCTGTAATATCACCAAATTTCATGGAAATTCGGGTATTACATCAAACTATCATTAAAATCCATTACCAGGGAAAATTTTTCGTATAAGTTGAAGAAAAATTTTGTTGAGGTAAAATTGAAGAAATAGGTTTAATATCAGAATTTTCATGAGTTGAGAAAAATGAAATTGAAGGTAATGTTTGTTGAGTCGTAGAAGTCGACTTCTTTTTTAATGAAGAATTTTGTGATGATGATGAAAGAGAACACAATCTTTCTTGACGGATATTATAATAAGGAGGTGTTGGAGGTCGAAATTTTTTTGAGAGACGTTGACTTTTCATATGACTTAATTGTTGTTGATGTATTTCGCTATGTATCTTGTGGTGTTTCTTTAAATCTTGAGGTCTTTTAAAAGCTTTTTTACATTTCTAATATAAATATAGAAAAAAAAATAATGATTAGATAAATTGGTTTTTTTTTTATAAAGACAACTTTTAAAAAATACAATATTTGAAAATACGTTACCTCGCATATGTGTGGTTTTAATGTTACATGAACCCGTAAATGGCTTGTAATATGATCTCTTTTGGTGGTTCGAACATCACAATCATCCCAATGACAGTCAAGACAAAGATTTCCTGTAGATTTACGACCTACATGATCTGTTGAGAGATGACTATAAAGAGTTTCCGCATCCTCAAAATTACGATTACAATTTTTCCAAAGACAAATAAATTCCGAATTATTTCCTTCAGAAACTGGAGGTGAAAGTGGGTTTACAAATGAATTATTATAAGACATCTTGTTTTTTGAAGATTATTTTATTATGGGTGATGATTTATTTTTTTCGAATGGGTAAAAAAAATATTAAGTTTTGAAATTATTTAATATTTAAATATATATATATATATATTTTTTTTATTATCCGATAATTTTTTCAAATTTTTTTACTTTTTTTTTCAAAGGATCTCTTACCCTTTTATATATTATTGAATTATAATCTCATGCAAAATTTGAATTTTTTTGCCAAGGAATCTGACGCGTACATTAAACTTTATTGTATAATATAAAGTATATATAAGTATTTTTTACTAAGTTAAATAAGGTGATACAATATAATCTAATCATTAACCAAATAAGGAGAATATCATTTAAAAGGGAATATTCGGGAAAATGGGTTGGGTGACACAAAAATAAAAAACGCTTGGCAAAATTTTACAAAAAAGCTTAAAAATTTCTCAAGAGAATTTTCTCATTTCTTGGTAAAAAAAAAATTTTAATATGATCGATTATTGAATTTTGCCAAGAGGAAGGTAAAAAATGAAATAATAACTTATTATGGACAAACAATAATATTATGTTTAAGAACCCTTGGCCAAACAACAAAAAAACGTTTTTTACGCAGTAATTTAATTTGAATTTTTCTTATTGAGCCAAGAACCCGGAAAACTCTATGCGGAACATTGTATTCTTTTATTGCAATGATTTTCTTATTAATTAAATTATAAGTTACTTTAATTATCTTGGCCATATGAAAAAGTAAACAAATGTTCTTAATTATCATCTTTTAACGGTAAGTAGATCTGAACTATTTCATTTTTTTTTAAAAAAAATATTTAATTTTTTTTTTTTAAAAAAATCTGACATACTTCTACTCATATCTATACTTGTCACACTATTTTGTTAAGGAAAGGAGGGATGCCAAGACTTCGAATTACTTTTGGCCAAGAGATTTCCAAAACAAAAATGTAAAAGAGATTTACACATAGTAAATTTGATGAAAATCATTAACCATTTTAGGATCGAAACACAACCGAAATAGTTACGGTTCACGGCAAAAAAATCCCCTAACAACAAACGATCTTTCTTGATCTTTTCTTGAGTGCTAAATCTTGTATGCATTTCGAAATTAGATAAAATTACCGTGCATTTAATGCTGTAACATTTTAACCTTTATGTTACTTGGTACCCGGTACTCCTTAGTCAAAGGATTTACAAATCACACGTGTACGTTCCAATCAAAATATGCCACGTAAAAATTTTTGCCATTTTTATTCTTTTTCTAAATGAATAATAAAAATAATCACCATTTTATTCATTTATTCGTTTATTCGTCGTTTATTGTGAAAATATTTCTCAAGTATGTAACTGTTCAAAAAAAAAGTATCTCGTTATTTAAAATATAGGGTGAGAAAAACTAAAAACTTTTTCTTGTTCATTTAGTTCCATTATTTGAAAACAAAACTCCTCATCTTTCACGTCTGAACAAAAAAAAAAAATCAAAAAATGATTAGAGACACAACACTTGCTGCCTTGTGTAACTCATTAGGAGCAATTTTAATGGCATTAATTATTAGTTACCATTTTATAGTAGTGAATTCTAAAGAAAGTTCTGAAAATTCTGAAAATGTTGAAAAGAAACATTCTTAATAAAAGGAGCGTGTTCAAAAAAAATTCTTTATTGAGTTTTAGGTCTTTTTTTATTTTTTATTTTATTTTATTTTATTTTTGACATATATATATATGTCTTATTAATAGAAATAAAGGTAATTTTTCTAATTAATATTTTAGTATTAATTTATTAAATTAGGTAGAAATTCAACTGGATAAGAAAGATAAATAAATAATATCTCTCGTATTCACTGGTATCATTATATATATTTTAATTTTTATATTTTTCTGACAAAGCTTCCATGAGATTAAAATCATTGTCTCTATGAATAGTTACAATATCAGCTTGAGCATTTGAAAGAACATTTAATTCTGAAATTACAACATTTGTAGGCCGATTTGCACCAAATACGACACATTCGGCTGAAAAAAATAAGGTAGTAGTGAAATAATTAAAACAAATTTTAGTTAAAAATAATTAGAAAATAAAATTTAATTAAGAATAATTAATTACCTATATCTTTTGCATCAAGAGGTTCATATCCAGAATAATAGATTTTGGAAAATTCGGGATTTCCTCGACTTCTATTCAACGTGAATTCAGTATCTACAGATCCTATATAATTGAAAAGAAAAGTAGATGTTTATAAAATGGAATAAATTTTAGAGATATATGATATGAATTATTGTTACCTGGTCTAATCAAAAGAACTCTGACCTTTGTTTTAACTAGTTCTTTTCTTAAGGAGCTAATATGAGATGATTTCCAAATTTGTCAGTACATTTTTTTTTTATTTAAAATATATATATATATATACTTTCAACTCACTCAGCAATTCCCTCAACAGCAAATTTAGAAGCGGAATAAATAGAATTACCAAATCCATGACTTTGTTGACCTGAGATACTTCCCATTATAATAATATCACCGCTATTGCGTTCTTTCATCCTAGGAAGAACAGCTTGAGTAACATATATTAATCCATTTACATTTGTTTCTAAAGTTGCTTGAATTTCTTCTTGTGTTTGATTTTCTAAAGTTTCAAATCCAATTGCTATTCCAGCCTACAAAAAAAAAAAATATTTTAGGGCTTGTCCAAAAAGATCTGATGTCTTTTTAATTTGGAAATTTATCGTTACATTGTTCACTAATACGTCGATATCTTTAAGTTCTTGGGGTAAATTTGCGATTACATCGTCAATTGCTTGTTTATTTCTTACGTCAACTTCACAAGTATGAATTTGTGTATTGGGATATTTTTCCAAAATTTGTGATTTTAATTTTTGTAACCTTTCAGCACGTCTCGCTAATAAAATGTGGAAAATTCTAGTTAAAGATAATTATTATTACATATGAAAATATCTATTTTAAAAGAAAAGGAAAAGGATATGAGTTTAGAATTATATTTTGCAAATTCTAATGCGGTAGCTTCCCCGATACCTGCTGACGCACCTGTACTATAATAAATGATTAAATAAATATATATATATATACACAATTATATATTACTTAAAAAAAAATTTTGGTCCCATAAAAGTTAACATTACATTAATACAACACGTCCTGATAATTCTGTATTCATTCTTTATGAAAAGAATTATTAAATTAAACTTCTAGATTTTTTGAACACCACGTTATCTTAAGCAAATCTTGATTGGATGTACATAATCATGCGATATTAATTTACCTCACGTGACTGACTAACAAAATTAAATTAAAGGTTAAGAAATTTTCTAAATTTTTTAAATTTTTTATTTAAATCAAATTTTAGATTTAAATATAAGTGCAAAACGGGATTTAAATAATAATAATAGAAATCTAAATAAATCAAAAAAAATTAAATATATTATAAAATAAAATCAAAATTTAATAAATTAGATTTAATTTTGATTCCTAATTATTATTTTTTAATAGTATTATCTGTTATAGGTTTTTAAATATTTTAGTTCTTTTTTATATTATTATTTTTATTTTATTAATAATTACATTATAAATTTTTTTTTTTTAATACAAATCCCTACTATAAATTACCAGATTTCATAAAATTTACTTATTAATTTTAAGCTGCATAGGAGTTTCACTAATTTTTAATAAAATTTGGCTCAAAATTTATTATTCATAATTAGTAAATGAAATAATTTTTTAATGTTTTTAAAAAATGTTTTCCTTTTTTTCTTAATAAATAATAACTACATATCATTATCTTTCAAATAATAAAAAAAAAATTAGCTGAATTTTGTTAAGAATTTATGAATTTATAAACTTTTATAAATTTTTATATAGTTTAAAATCATCAATTCATTATATTATTTTACTAGTAAATTTGTAAATTCAGCCAATTTTTTTTATTTATTTAAAAGCTAATTTATTTTATAGTTTTTAATATTCTAAAAATTTTCTTTCTTTTTAATATATAAAAAAAAAAATTATTTTACTGCTAATTTATTATGTAAAAATTTCTTATATATTTTCTATTTTTTTTTTTGTTATTATTTTTCAAATAAAAAAATTTTGACCAAATTTTTTGTATTTACCTTACGTAATTACTATAAATTAATAGATTTATAAAAATTTAATGATTCTTTAAGGAGTAACGTAAGGTAGATAAAGTTTGCCTTACAAATGGAAGTAGATTGAGTAATTTATGTGATCTTACATTACTCACTTTCTACTCCTTTGATTATTAGACACACTACAAATCATATAAAATATAGTGGACTGGTTAGTAATTTTTTTTATCTACCTTTTACAAGTAAAGCGCAAAACTAATAAATATAAATATTACTGCTTATCAATCAAAAACATCGTGAGATCATTGAAAATAACTCTGCAAATAAAAACTAATGGTATGTGCACTGACTATTTGGTTAAATCTTTGTTATATTGTTATATTAGTCTATAAAAATTTCAGATATATTACTCTTCATAGCATTTTTGATCTTCACCGATGAAAAAATCTTTTTGATCATCATCACGCACAGTGAAATTATTCACATGAATCTCATGAATCTCACCAGTCACCACGTGCCTCAACAAAAATTTGGCATAGTGTATCAATAAATTTTCTGGTAACAAAATAATAAGCATCTGCGCCTAATTCTGTAGGATAACTGAAAAATTAAACAATAAATTTTTTGTGTATAAGATGAAATGGAATTTTATGAAAATAAGAGTATAAATCGGAAATAAAGCATTACTACCAAATTTATGTTATAGATATAAATTCTCATGCTGAACTTAATATTTTTATATTAGAGATAAAAATAGACAAAAATTAAATGGGATCAAAAATCTAGTGTAGAAAAAAGGTATTGGTGTGAGAATCTAATAGTTAACAATAATAGTGATAGAAACAAATTAATTATAGGTAAACGTGAGAGAATGATGAAATAGTATGATGCTGGGACTCACATTAAATGGCCTAAGATCTGCATACTCCTTCCCTCTTTGATAGCTTCGATTATTCAGCGGATTTGTGTAATCACATGTCATTTGATTATAGTATAAAAATTTATAGAAAAAACCAAGATCTCTTATCTAAACATGGCAACACATATTTGTTCATAGCACGTGTTCGTTAAATAGATAATTGACAGCCTTTTGATAAAAAATTTCTGCAACTTTTGTAACTCTAATGTCTACAGAAGCGAATAGCACGTAAATTCATAATCTCGAAAAGAAAGTGGGTTTTTATTGTTTGAATATTCACTTTTTGATCCCCTGTATTTACCTTTCTTTGAATAAACTATAATCACAGTTTGAGGGCATTGATATCAAGGTTCATATTATATGTCGCAAAAAACAAAAAAGACAATAGATGTAAGAAGGCACTTCCATTCCTAATGATGAATTGCTAAAGGCAAGTGTCTATATTTAAGTTTGATATTTGGATAGAGAGGAGTTGGGTTATCATTTCAAAATCAACCCCCCTAAGTTCCTAAGTGGCCTGGCCACTAATACTAAATCTTTATTTTCTGATGTCGAATGGAAAGAAATTACTTCAGAAATTAAGGAAAACCTAAAACTCGGAGAATTAATGAATGATAAAATACACAGTTAGAGGTGTTAAGAAAATTATTTATGAATGTGGTAACGAATATGATAAATGTCTTATCATGAATTCATGATCTCGATTTTATTAATTATGCATACTGGAGTATGTTGTTTTTATGGGGTAAGGAAGAGAATCCTTTTGATTCTTCGAAGTTAGAAAGATGGTACGAAATGATTGATCTGACATTTCACAATACTATCATTGATTTAGTACGTAGTGATGATATGACCTGTGCTTCGAGTGATAGAAAAAACATTGTAAGAACAATCAATGATCGAAAAAGATTGGTCAAAACTCAAAAGAGGATGAGTTTTAGATTATATAGTATAAGGATCACCTGGAATTTGGTACTATAGAGGCAGGTTTTAAATGGGAAGGACATAATGGGACTAAATACTTGAATGATTCCTTAAAACTTAATAAAATGATGAAGGGTATGATCATTACTATATATGATGTGAGAGAAGACTCTGTAAAAAATCTGATCCGTGTTTTATCTTTCCATATTTTTTCTGTAAATGTATCATTTTAATGGAATTTATAGCCTTGAATCATGGAAATTTTCATCTCGCTAACACGGATATCCATAAATGTATCATTTTCACAGAATTTTTACAGAAGACACAGAGAAATAATGGAAATATTCGAATAAAAATTTTTTATAGGGAGATCTTGTTAGAAAATTGAAAGTTATTGGGATTTTACATTGAGTCAATAGAATTCAATAAAGATCTAAAAACTAAATAAAACTAAATATAACTTAATTGTAGTGAAAATTATTTAAAAATATTTCATCCAATATTTAAGTTAATAGAAAATTTGCTATAACCTGATCTGATCCATTAGAAACTCTATTTAGCACAGTAAAATTATCCACATCTTTATACATTTGATAATTTATTTTACTTATTTTATAAATTAACTGTTAATGCTTTATAATATAAATTAAAGTTTATTTTTTATTCAATATAAATTTGTTTTATAAATTTTATAATGAAATCATAGTAATACAAGTAAAAAATAAAATAATTTAAAAGATTAGAATTAGGATAAGTACTACATATCAATAAAGCATATATAAATTATTAAAAAAAAAAAAAAAAAAAAAAAAAAAAAAGAATTAGGATAAGTGAACTAGTATTAAGGTATAGGATTAAGGTTAGATTGGATTAAAATCATTAGATTAAGCCATTAAGATATGAAATTAAGATTAGAGAAAAAATTTTTAATAATTATATTATTTAATATCAATGATTTCTTATTGGTAATTTGAATATTGATTAATTAACTGTCAGCTAATGATTTAATTCAGATCCATTTTAAGAATATTTCAATATTTTATAATTAGATTTTTGTAATCTTAAATTCATTAAATTTGTCTTATTAAAACAATATAAATAATCATAATTTTATAGAATTAATATTTAATACATGATTATGATTTAAGTATTTTGAATTCTTTATAATATTTTTTAATCCTATAACTAGATTTTTATGAACTTTATATAACTTTATCTTATTAGATTCATCTTATTATAATGATTGAATAATAGTAAATTTATTTAATAATATTTATCAAATTATACCATTTTTAAATTTTATGAACTGTATAGTAAAAATTTAAATAATTTATATAATAAATAATTTTAAATTTCTAAAAATTACTAAAAAATATAAAAATGAAAATTCATTTCAATTATTTAATAATTATATTATTACAAATTTACAATTTACAATTTAATTATATTATTAATATAATTATTACATTATTTTAATAGAATTCTAAATATATTTAAACAAGTTATAATTAATTTTAATTTTACTATTAAAAAAAAGCAAATTTAATTAAATTTAAAATTTTAAAAATTAGTTTTTTGCAGTTTTTTGCAATTATTTTATTATTTAGTAGTTCAATTTGGCTAATTATTTATTTTTCAATATACTAAATATATATTAAATTATGAAAATTGTCATTTATCGCTATAGCGACATATCGCCAGTCTATACAGATCATGTGATTTATTGATTTAAACTCGTGATTTACTTTTTTTAAACTATAATTAGATTATGAAAAAAAGATTATTGTTATTTTTTTCTCACGATTGTCTTCTCTCTCTTTTTCATTTACCAACAATTTTAAACTTTCATTAATAACGACCAATACATCCTTGCTTATTTCACTTCTTTTACTCATAAACAAACTTTTTTTTTACTCTTTTATATTATTTCTATATGGTAAATATATGATATGGATGAAGAAAGTAGACATGAAAGTCCTAATAATGGTACGTTAATAATAAGCATTAGGCTTATCTTTATATTGGTGTTGAGATCGCGTTAGAGTTAGGGTTAGGGTTAGGTTAGTTTGTTTAGGATTAGGATTTAGGGTTAGAAATTAGGGTTAGGGTTAGGGTTAGGGTTAGTTTGTTTATAGTTTATAAGTATTTAACTCTTCTTTTTTTTAGTTATTTGTAGTGGGCAACCTATATTATTCAATGAACATGATACTGTATCTTTGTATTCAGGAAAGACCTTTACGTCGTGGGAAGAATGTGAACAATTTTTGAATGAATGGGCAAAGAGTCAAGGTTTTTATATAATTAAAGATCGTGTAACCCGTTGCTTTTCAATCGTACAAAGTAGAATAATTTGCAGACATTACTTTCAAGTAATGTTAGCTACCAAAGAAGCTTTTTTCATATTCAATTTATTCCAAAGAGATAGTATAATATAAACAAAAATGGATCACAAGAACCATTCTTGGTTGCTGATAAATTTATACAAAATGATCAACAACATTTTTCTTATGATTTTAATGATTCTTCAAGTTTATGTTTATTTAATCGGAATAATAGGGAAATTGATGAAGAAAGATTGACAATTCTTGAACAAAAAATTACATATGGCAAATTACACAGAATGTATAAGAAGGCTCTGAACAAGGCATTGCAGTCTAATTCTAAATCAGAGCAACTCATCAATTTATTACAAAACTTTGCAGAGGAAGAAGAATCAAATCCATCAGATTCTGATGAATTAGAGTTGCAACAAGAAATCATTACAGGTGATAAGGAAAATTTTGATCCTTTAATACCAAAGTTACAAAATCCTAAGATACGTCATGGAAAAAGCTGACCATTAGGCACAAAACGCTTTAAATCTTCTTGTGAAGCAAATAAAACCAAATCAAAAACACAACGTCATTGTAAAAGATGTGGGTTGGCCGGTCATTATCAAAAGAATTGCAAGGTATTTTCGTATAGCCTTTTTACGATTCTTTTGCTTTTTATTTATACTAAGATTATTATTATGCATTTTATTAGGAAGAAGCAGTTAATAACTAGTTGATTTTTTTATTGAGATATAATAACGCTTACAATAATGCATTATTTGCTTGTTATATTATTTACTTGTAAATTATTTATAATGTAATATTCGCTAATTATTGCTAATATAATAAAAAATGTATAATTAACGATAAGTCACATGCAATGTAAATCACGTGATTATATGGACTGGTGATATATCGCTATAGCGATAAAAAATAAAACCCTTAAATTATTATTTAATAATTAATAATATTATATAATTATTACAACAAAATATTCAATATGAAAATGAATATTAAATAATCAGTTATTATTATTATATTATATAATGCCATGTAATAATAAATTAATAATTGTTCAATATTAATTATAAAATTAGAGAAAATTTATTCCTCACCCGGGTGATTACTCACCCCCTATATATTATTAGTATTTATTCACGTGCTTGTGTAATAAACTATAATAAATTTGATTGGAACTTACGCGTTTGTATTATAAAATAAACAGTATAAATTATAAGCCACAGTCACGCGTTTTTCACATACATGCTACATAATACGCACCGTAATAGTATTTGCTCTTGCATGTTCTTTGCTTTTTGTGCTTGGTTAATCATGTTATATGAGGTTTCACCTTTTACAGAACCCACCAATCATGATGATAATAGTGAGGAATATGTTGTTAAAAGTGTATTAGGTGCCGAACTTAAAGATTATGTTGGTGGCTTTCCGTTAATTAATACTCTAATCGAGATTGAGAATGGAACAAGGTTTCATTCCATGGAAATTGCAGTACATTTTATAGAACAGTACGCTCTTCAGAATAATTTTGCTGTCTTTAAGCATAAAAGTGAAAAATTTCCGGATGGTACTTGTAGAAAAAGGGTATTTAAGTGTGATTTAGGAGGAAGGTATACTGAGAAGCTTTTAAGGCCAACATTAGGTAAAGAAAAAAGTAAAGGAACCAAAAAACAGGGCTGTATGTGGCAAATGAATGTTAATAGACGAATAAATTCACCCATAGTAACTGTAACGTTATTTAATAACGAACACAATCATGAGATTCTCACCGATACCATAAAATTCTCCACTTGTTACAAAAATTTTACTGAAGAAATTATGGAACAGATAGAATTTTATGTTGTGCATGGCCGATGTGATGCAGGAACAATTAGGAATCTTCTTCAACCAAAGTATCCTGATCGTGTATTTCTTACCCAAGACTTGGGAAATGCAATTCAAAAGATCAAACAAGAAAAAGGCCTTAATAATTTAGGAGATGCAGCATCTTTATTAATGAGACTTCTTGAATTGCAAGCAGATGATCCTGCATGGTTTGTAAAGCCGTTAATAGATGATACAAGTAACCGGCTAATTGGTATTTTCTGGATGTCACCAGAACAACGTGAAAGATGGTCTAAATTTTATGACATTATTATCCATGACAATACTGCACGAACTAACAAGTATAACTACCCATTAAGTCTCTTTATTTTAATTGATAATTATAACAAGAGCAGGTTGGCGGCCCAAGCCTTTATACAAGATGAAAAACAAGAATCTTATGAATGGTTGCTTCGATGTTGTCTTGAAGCATGTGAAATTCCTCCATTGACATTTGTTACTGATGCCGATCCTGCCATGATTGCAGCCATTTCTACAGTATTTCCAGAAACTCATCATATGCAATGTTTATACCATCTTTACCAAAATCTTCCAAAAAATCTTCGTTCATGCTTAGGATCACCTCTTTATCAAGAGTTTCTCAAAGATTTTAGGGCAATCCAACGTTCTCATTGTGAAAGTGTATTTGAACGCCGGTCTGCAGGTATAGTTGAAAAATATGAAGCAGGGAAAAAATATATAACTACAATGCTACTAAATAGAAAACATACGTGGGTAAAGTGTTTTACATCAAGGCATTTCACAGCGGGAACACAATCCACACAACGCGTAGAATCAGAAAATGCGTTGATACAGAAGGCTGTACAGTCAAGTTTTTTTCTTTCACAAGTTCAAGAATCAATTGAAAATCGGCTAGAATTTGAGTTGATTAACAATCGTTATTCAATTTGGAAATCCTCAACATTACAGTATACACAACCCTTTGTTATTCTAACGTTTTTTAAAGACATTGATATTACCATGAAAAAGTATCTCACTCAACCAATTCATGATGCACATTATAAGCAGATGTGCCAATCTGTATGTTATCGTACACATCAAGTACCATTTTCCGAAATTTCAGCATCAGATGACGATTCATTTGAACCTTTTTTTGATAAAGAAGTAGATGATTCTATTGAAACACCTATTGAAGCTGATGAGGATCGGGAACTTGACTTAAAATCCTTGATTTCAATGGTTAACTCAGACGATATTTTAGAAATTTGGAAGGTCTCTCGGTATAATTTTCCGAAGTGTTATCAACATGTGATTTTGCTTAATACCGGAGAATATTTATGCACTTGTTTCATGCTTATAACGCATGGTATTATATGCAGACATTTTTTTAAAGTGTTTGTTGAAACTCCTAAAGCATATTTTCATTTGGTATTGATTCCCAAGCATTAGTATAAAGATGAATATATCACTTCAAGTGATATCTCTTCTAGAGAAATAATAATGAATAGTTGCCAAAATGATCAAAATAATACACAAATCACTTTAGAATTTACGCGAAAATATACTGTAAATGATCTTTCAGAGAGCTATTCCAGGCAAATATCACAAAAACAATTGAAATTTGGTACTTTAATGGGTGAAGCCAAAAAGGCAATTCAATTTGCGATTCAAGATGATGATGAAGAACTAATTCAGTTTATAAGAGAATATAACAAAAGAAGGGAAGCTCAATTAATTCAAGCAGAATCAATTAGACAACAAGAAGATTTAGAAAGAAGAAAAATGATTGCAAATGATAATCGAGTTTTTCATAATACAAGGGGAGTATTGGTTGATTCTAATCAAATAATGGATACGTTAAAGCATCAACCAAAGGGTAGACCCGCAACGAAGCGGTTAAAATCATCTTTTGAAAAATCAGGTTCAAATAAAGTCAAAAATGGGAGTGAACAAGCAATTTCTGGTGATAAAGGTCGTAAGTGTGGTTTATGTGAAGAAAACGGTCATTATCGTAATACTTGTTCAAAACAATAATGAACTTTACATAATCACATGTTTATAGCGAAGATTATTTTGTATTTTGTTTAGTAGTAGTGCGATACAATTCAATTGTTACGTTTATTTGGCGAAATCAAACAATAAAGATTGATCAACAATATGTATATATTTGGCATACAATAAATATAACTTTATTTTTTTTTTATATATAATATATTATAAAACGCATATAAATACATAACAAAAAATAAAAAAATTTTTAGGGGTGAAGAATATTAAATCTCACCCGGGGTGAGGAATAAATTCACCCATAAAATTATATCTCTGATAACTTTATAAATTAATCAATTTTGCTCATATTTTATTATTTATTACTGAATATTATTTATTTTTTAAAAAAAAGTAATATAATATATTAAAGTTTAGGGAATTGCTAACCGTCGCCTGGGCGATTGTCGCCTGGGTTTTTTTTTCGAATATGTCACATGATGTATAATATATAAATATAACTATTATCCATTTATAATTATTATTTTGCTCAGTTAGTTCAGTGGTTAGAACGCTCGATAAATTTTTTTTTTATCTTAGAAACGCAGGTTCGATTCCTGCACTGGGCCTTTAATTTTTTTCGTTAACGATATAATACCACGTGTAAAAACGCGTTAGTACGTTATGAATACTAATGATCATATGATATATCACGATATCACGTATTATTGTATTACACAGCATGCTGCACACTAGAAGCGTACTGTTAATGCCAAAATCGGCAAGAGAAAACAAACTTCTTTATCCAAACTAATCATTTATCCAAAACTAATCACTTTTCTCTATCACAAAGCACAGAGTTACAAAATAGAAATATCAAATAGATAATGTGCATAAGCGTCACCTTTTTGAGGTGTACTCCTCAGCAGATGAAGAGATAGATGACGTTAACGAGCTACAAGATGAATATGAAAGTGTGTCTAGTGAAGAAGATTGTGTGTTATTTG